GCTGGTAAAACAATGTAAAATCTGTCAAGCTTTCAAAGGAACATCTCAAAACACTGGTTTGTATACCCCCCTTCCAATTCAAAATAAACATTGGGAAGATATTTCTATGGATTTTGTTTTAGGTTGCCTGTTACTGTATGAAAATATAATTCTGTATTTGTCGTTGTGGATCGATTTAGCAAAATGACACACTTTATTCCATGCAAAAAAATTTCTGATGCTTCATATGTTGCTGACTTGTTCTTTAAAGAAATTGTTCGTCTCCATGGCATACCCCGAACATTTACTTCTGATAGGGATACTAGATTTTTGAGCCACTTTTGGAGAACACTTTGGGCTAAGTTGGAACTACTCTTCAGTTTAGTAGTGCTTATCATCCACAAACCGATGGACAAACTGAAGTTGTCAATCGAAGCTTAGGGAATTTACTTAGATGCCTTGCTGGAAAGAAACCTTCCCAATGGGATTTGATATTATCCCAAGTTGAGTTTGCATATAATAATTCTGTTAATCGATCCACTAGAAAAACTCCCTTTGAAATTATTTATGGTCAGCGTATACCTCACATTTTGGATAGAACTTGTTTACCTTTACCTAACAAAGTTAGTGCTGAAGCCATAGACATTGTTGATCATATCAAATCAATCAAACAACAAGTCTTTAAAAAACTCCGTATGACAATTGTTAAATACAAATCTGTTGCTGACAAACACCAGAGGAAATTTTATTTTAAAGAGGGTGATTTGGTTATGGCTTATTTTTGTCATCAACGATTTCCTGTTGGTACTTTTAGCAAGCTAAGCAGAAAAAAGTTTGGACCTTTTCGTGTTCTACGAAAATTGAGCACGAATGCCTATCTCCTGGTTCTTCCTATCACTGTTGGAACTTCCCCTGTATTTAATGTTTCTGACCTTTCTTTGTATGAAGGAAATTTGGATGATTCTGTGAAAGTTGAGACTTTACAAATTTTCGCTTCAGTCCTTAGCAGAGATGATCAGATTGAAGATGTTATTGATATCAGGACTACTCAGACTAGACATGACGAATATAAAAGGTTCTTGGTTAAATGGAGCAACCTTCCATTAACTGACTGCACATGAATGGATGCGGCGGAGCTAAAAAATTGTCATCCGGATCTCTATCAGACAGTTGTTGAAGCATTCTCATCAAGAGATGAAATTCTCCCATCATGGGGGAATTGATGCATGCAAATTTCAGTTTTAGTTTTATTGTCATTTGAATTCTATAGTTAATTTTGATTTTTTTATGCTACCCTATGATGGACGGCAACCAATGATCATGAGTAGGTTGTGCTTGGGCTTGACAATCTTTGGGTGTGCTAGTTATCTTGGTGCCTTGGCTCTTGGGTTGTTGGTGGATCCTTGGTTTGGGCTTGGCTAATCGGGTTTTGCTGTGCTTTTAGGAGCTGCTATATTCCAGTTCATTTATGTTGAGCTGCTTTTTTTCAGCTCATTACTTTTGGTAGTTCTCCTCCTTTTTAGCTCATTAAGTGGAGTGGTTTTTGCTCTTTCCACTTCTCTGTGGCCATTTGGTTTCCCCCGCCTAGCTCCTGTCCCATGGCTAGTTCTTCTCTCTTGGCTGCCTATTCCGGTTCCCCTGGCTGCCCGTTTCTGTCCCCTTGTGGTCCTTCGGGTGCTGCTCCTGGACCGCCTGTGTCCTTTTATTTCCCTTGTTCTGATTGGATCGGTTGGAGGTGGTTTTGGCTGTTTGGCTACCCCTTTTCTCTTATATATATGAGATGTTTTGTGGCATGAAAAGGTTGTTGATTGTTGAGCTAAGTTCTCTAAATACCTGAGGGTTTCTTCTTTGGAAAGCTTGAGAGCTTGTTCCAACTCTCTTCTCCTCTCTACAATTTCGTCTTGGGCTTCTTATCCACTTCTTCTCTCCGCAAGTTCTACTCCACTTGTATTTTTCTTCTTGAGCTATTGGAGGTGTTGGTTGGCCGGTTTGGTAGCATTTGCCAGAGGAGTTTTGGTGGACGTTGGCCCAAGTAGCTATTGGTGGACCCTTGGTTTGCATGCCCTTAAGCACATCTTTTATATTGTCTACTATTTCAATTGCATGTGAGGTGACCACTAGACGGTTGTTCTGAGGGTAGCTGTTTTTATTTTTAATTTAGTTTTCATTTGTTTGGCTTTCGTTTGTTTTGAAGTTTGTTTGATGTTGGCATTCTAAGTTTTGAATTGAGAAAGGTTCTACTTATCCTGGTGTTCTCCCCTTGTGGCTTTTTCTATCTAGTTGTCTGCATTAGGAATGCATCGGGCCTATTATGTGGTAGAAAAGTACCCCTCAAACTTAAAAGAAAATTGATGAGGACATCGGAGATCAACGGCTACGATCTTGAGTTATTTATTTATATGTTTTATGTATTAGTTTATTTTATATTGTTGTTTTTCCCTTTATACCCTTACGAGTGGTCATGTAGTGTTGTAGCCCGAAGGGCATTTTAGTCTTTTATTTCTTTTCTTTTCATGAGGCCTATTTATATGCTAGTTGTTTTGTATTTTGGGATGATGATTTGATAATAAAAATTTTATGTGTTTTCTTCTTCTTCCTGTGCGAGCACTAGAGAGAAGGGAGAGAGAGTCCAAGGTGAGGGCAAGTACAATACCCACAAGTCGTTGGAAGAGTCCGCGGCTCGTGGTTTAATTTATTTTATTTTTCTTCCTTCTCTTCCCCACCCCACCCGCCGGCTCCTCCTTTTTCTCCACCACCGGCCATCCACCCCCACCCAAATACTCCCCAACTCCACCTCAAGCCTCACCGCCGGCCTAACCCCATCCTCCCATCCAACCGAGCCCCTAAACCCCCTCCCACCTCCTTGCCACCGGCCATCTTGGCCCTCCCACCATTAATGATGATTTCCATCATCATTACCACTTACCAAAACTCACCCAAGTGATTTAGGAAGATAACTCATCAATTTGAAATTCTAATTTGAATTTCAAATAACTTCCTAAATCGACATAGCTATATTTGGAAAGTGTCTTTATTTGAAATCAATTCTATATCATGAATTTTGAAATTCAAAATTCAAATTTCCCTTGATTACTTTCCTAAAATAACTTCTGTCAATTAGAAAAGTTTCCTTTCTTGAATTCATTTAAATATTTGAATTCAAATACTTTCCCTAATGATACAACCCAATTAGGAAGCCTCTCTAATTTAATCAAATCTGAAATTAAATATCATATTTGATTTCAATCAATAATTGAAATTAAGGGCTCACATACATCGAATCTAGACGCTTTCCCCTCCTTTCCCTATGGCCGGCCTTCCCTCTCCCTATTCTTTCTCCAATCTAGTCACTAACTCGTAATTAAGTTCCCCACTAATTCACTTAGCAGCCGCCATATTTGGGATTAATTTTTGAATGTCAATTTCAAATCTTCCTCCCAATTAAATGTTTCCCTGACTTCCTGCTTGATGCTCTCCACATCCATCAAGTGAGCCTTGCTATCCAGCGGCAAGGAAGGCCACGGTTTGCTGTCCATAGCTCCCAGCAGCCCAAGGAGCAGGCCCAGACGTTTCTAAGCCTTACGGAGTGCTGTCCAGGTCCTGTCCAAGGTCAAAACTGCTGCTGTCCTGAAGTTCTGCTTGCTGTCCCCTTATTCCAGCAAGAATCTCTTGCTGTCCAGCACTCTGGAAGACCACACTTTGTTGTCCCAAGTTCCCAGCAGCCTAGAAGAGCAGTCCAACGTTTCTTGCACCTGAAAGGTTGCTGTCCAAGATCTGTTCAAGACCAAACTACTGCTGTCCAGGGAAATTCTGCATCTCTTCCTGCTGTCCAGCTAGTCGGGACTCGGGAGATCTTCGTGTGCTGTCCGAAAGTTTTCGATTGCTGTCCACCACATCAAGAAGGGTCTTGGTTGCCGTCTACTTCATGTCAAGCACCCAAACAGCCACCAAAGCTTCGTATCTTCTATTTCTTTGGGTAAACTTTTCCTCCGACTCTTTTATCTTTGTAGTTACTTCTCAATTGTGGTCTTAGTAGATTCATGAGAATAGTGTCAATACTCCTCCGCTAAAACTTTGAACTATTAGAGAGTTGAGTGAGGGATATCTATTGATGACAATCTTATTGTTAGCATAGAGATTTATTGTTGAAACCATTCATGTATGCAATGCTAGATTAATTGATTATTTTATGTCCTTAACTCCTATGCATGTGGTTTAGCCTAAGCTTGTATCACCACTGTGTGTTTTATCTCATCGTTAAAATCGTTATAAAGATATAATTATTGTGGTCTCTAAAATTAAGCGTGTAAATTCATTAAATATCTCATCTTCGCATGTACGTTCTACATCAAAAATTCTATAAGATGGTGGTGAGAACTGCAATGCTTTATGGTACAGAATGTTGGCCATTAAAAACAAGCATAAAGCTAAGTTAAGTGTTGCAAAGATGAGGATGCTCAGGTGGATGAGTGACTTTACTTTTAGTGACAAATTGCGAAACGAGCATATACGTGAAAAGGTTTGGAGTAGCTTTGGTGGTAGATAAGATTAGAGAAAGTCGCCTTAGATAGTTTGGCCACATAAAACTTTAGCCTTCTCATGACCCGGTTAGAAGAGTAGATGTATTAGATTTGACCTATATTAAGAGAGGCAGAGGTAGACCAAAAAAGATTTGATTAGAAAATATTAGAAATGTTATTTTTTATTGGATGTAAATGTGAATCTAACTTTTAATAATACACAATAGAGAAAACTAATTCATGTAGCCAACCCTAAGGTGAAAGGCTTGATGTTGTTGTTGTTTTTACGCATGTGCAAATTGATATACACCATTAAATTAAAGCAGAGAAGTTACCAGAAAATTTTCTGAGAATACTTTACCTTGGCAACATTGATATTTTTGTCTTAATTTTGATAGTAATAGCCATTATTTGTTCTTGACGATAATTTTCTAAATGCCTCATTAGTCAGCACATGCTTTACTTTGTTTAATTATTTAAATTTGTTTATGCTTGATGAAGGTGAGCTAGAAGAAAGTATGGCCGAGCTTGAGGAAAGTCGACGCAAGTTGATTATTTTACAGCTGCAGAAGAAAGGGGCATCTGCTATGACTGATTCACTTGTCAGCTCCATAAACGGTACCAGTACTCCGGGGAGACTTGGAGATAGGACTATTACTCTGAGGCAGTTGAAAGATTCTATTGAAGAAGCCAAGGTACCTAAATGCATGCCAAGAGGATTTTTAATTTTGTTTATATTCTTTGACCAGCATAAAGTTGGAAAGTCCTCATATCTAAGTAAAAATCTTTGCTTTTTCTTGTGGCAGGTGTTGGCATCAAATCGTGAATTAGAGCTTCAGGAGGCACGGGAAGACAATTTATCCTTGTCAAAGCAATTGGAAGACCTTGAGGTTACTTGATTTGAGCTTTATTAGTTTTTTGTTTATATAAGTTGCCTTTTTGGTTAATTTTTGGTGGTGGTGCCTCAAATGATTTGAAGTATTGACTAACTTACCCTTTTTCCTCCCACAATTAGAATCAATTGAAGGATGACAAATATGTGCTCCATTCAAAACCATACACTTTACTGAAAGACCAACTCCAGCATTTAAATGCTGAAATTGAGCGGTACAAGGGGTTGATAGAGCCTTTGCAGGTAGTCTTTTGCTATTTAATTGCTGAAGGCCCGTTGTTTGCCTGTTTTATTGTTTGATTTTCTAAAATCATGTATGCAGGCTGATAGAAATCAATTACTTAAAAAAGATAGGGAGCTGTCTTCAAAAGCACATTCATTTGATGCTGTGAAGACCTCTATTTCAAGCTATGAGGCCAAGATAGAAGAGCTAGAGCATCAAATTCAGAAGCTTATTGCTGAAAGAAACAAACTTGAAATGAAATTGGAAGAAACCCTGCAGGATTCAGGTGAATATTATGAAGTTTTGCATTGTGACACAGTTTTCGCGTCGCACTCTAAAAAATAATTATTTCAGAGAGAAATGATATCAAGGATGAGATTCACGTCATGGCATCTGCGTTGGCTAAAGAGATGCAGATGACTGAAGCACAGTTGAATCGGTCTAAAGATGCTGCATCTGAAGCCCTTTCATTACGGCAGGAAGCCAATTCCCTAACAGCTATGCTAGAGGAAAAGGTCTGGATTTAAATGCGGTCATATTTTTATCTAGCATTTATGTGTAACGTGCTCTTTATGAATTATATATTGCAGTCTTTGACTTATAAAATCTTTTATTACTGTCAAAGTGTTGATGTATCTAAATCTGAGACATTTAAGATTGATGTATTCTTGGAGGTCAAAAGTTGATATTAGCATCAGCAAGATGGTAGATTGCAAAATTAAGTGATGGAGAATCAATTTGGTGGAATCAATCTTATTCTGTGTTTAACTTTGAGTTGAGAGATAGGGGATGGATGGATTGTTAAGTGGACACTGAGAGAGACGTGTTGAGAGAGATTCGGGAAAGACAGGAGACCTAAGAACAAGGGGAGAGAGAAAGAGATGGTGAGAGAAAGGTCAAAGTAGGCGGGGAGGAGGAGCATTTTGAAGGGTAAATAATCATTAGTGGTGGAGATATAATATAGCAAAGTAAATCTTGCTATCTTGTGGCTTGGCTTGAGAGAGGGTAGGGAGATCCAACAATTGGGGAGGAGGGGTATTTTCAAGAGTAAAACGAAGAATTGTTTTGTTTTTCCTAAAAATAGATGACTAGTTGCAGATGGCGTAAAAAATTATGTACATGAAATGCAAATTTTCACAATATGCTTATATATTGGCATGGGATTCTAGACTCTTTAGTGTTGATATGTTTATTGAAGTGGTAATATTGTAGAAATAATTTAGTTCACCTTGATGTATGAAGTCTAGTATGAATAGGTGATCATTAAAAAAGCTGCATAAAAACACAAATAATGGTAATTTCATTTTTTTTTAATTTATTAGCTTGTTTAAAGCATAACTGTACTATTTCTTGGTATAATCTCTTATGGCCTTGCTGACAGGCCGTTGATGGCGAACTGTAGTTATCAAAGAAAATATTGCTGACCATTAATCTCAATTTAAATTAATCTTTCCAGCAGCATTATGTTTTCACTCCCATATAAGATGATGCCTTTTGTTGTTAGATTGCTGAACGCAAAAGCTTGTCAGATAAATGTGCTGAGCAAACTGTTGAGATTAAGTTACTGAAAGAGCTGGTATGTGTATTTATTTTATGATTTCATGATTCCTTTTTCTCCATTCTCTGAGTAGCTCTCTTTGTTCTTTTGGTTTGATAAGCCTTTTGAGAAAACACACACACACACAAATTAGAGTTTATGACATAATGCTGTGATAGTTTCATCTGAAAGGATGTAATTCTGCAGATTGAGAAATTGGAGAAGGAGACACAAGAGCTGCAGAACATCCTGGATATGTATGGACAAGAATCTTATGACAATAGGTATATTCAATAGTTTTCTTAGACTTTATTTCTGCTTATTTTATTGAAGGAACAATCTGATCTGGCAAGAAGCTTTGCAAAATTTTGCTATGAATTTCCCTATAGTCGCCTCTAAGGAGAGCTAGAAACATATGTTTCCTTATGATATAAGGAAGACAAGTTAATTTACAAATGGCCAATTATGGTCAGTTTGAAGCAAAATTTTCACTAATTTGTTTTGCAAACGGTTGGCACATTGTTATTTGGCTAATTCTTTCTAGAAATTTTTATAATAAGATGTAATCTTTAACAATCAGGTCTATTAGAATGTGATAGTTGTAAAAAAGTTGCTGTACAACCTTTTCGAAAGGGAAAAATATATATAATACCAGCAACACCTTTAAAAAAATCTTCTTTTCTCATAATATTTTTCAAATACTTTTACAAATAGTTACAACCACCCCTAATAAACCCTTGTTTTCATCCATTTAAATTTTGCAAAAAGAAAATAATCAATCTCACTATAACCAAAGATGATAGTATGGTGTCTAAAATAGTTTTCTTTGTATGTATCTGTTTATTTTAGAAACGGTTGTGCTGTTTTTTTATTTGAATTGTTTATTGCATAAAAGCTTTTAGGTATTTAATGGTTGGATCTCTCTCTTACAGAACTATTTCCAAGTGTGTTATGGTTTTATTTCTATTTATTTTTGGTTGGTGGGGAGGGCGGTTGGATTCTCTCTTACAGAACTATTTCCAAATTACTTATGTTACACTTGTTTTAGGTGTGTGGGGGGGGGGTAAGTAATGCTAATGCTTCTAAGAGATTACAAGTCCTTCATGAGATGGAAAGGATGATAAGATGCACTTAGTGATAAATGCCGACTGTATCAGAGAGGTGAACTTTAAGAATAATGCAGATGGAGTTTATTAAGTGTGAATTTTTGTTACTGGAGATGGAAAGACCAGAGAAAAAAAAAAGATTATGATTTCCTTTTATTTACATGATAGCATGTTTGAAAAAAATAAGTATGTTTAAAGATGCTTGTGTTCTTTTGGGGATGTAGGTTTTGTCAGATTGGTTCGCTATTGGAAAGTTAGTGATGAAAAACTCAGAATTAGGCTGCAACAAAGTGCCATTGGTTTGGTTTCAGCCTGATCTTAGAACTCAACTCGCTCTTTGTAGTTTTAGAAATATGGACCTTCATTTGAGCTGTGAAATCAAACATGATGATTTTTTTGTAAAAAAAAAATCTTAGAACTGAACCGGTTTTCTTTGGTTCTACGGATATTGAATTTGATCTGAGTTATGTAATCAAGCTGTTAATATTAAGTCATTGTGATATGATTCTTGAAGAGCCATAAAGGGAAGAACACCTTTTGAGTAGATGCAAACTCCTAGAGAGAACAAGAGGGAGAGGGAAAGAGAAATCAAATTTTATTTCCTGAACTTTATATTATAGCAATTGGGCATTTATAGATCTTAGGTTCACTAAACCTGAATCGGTTTTATGGCTATAGAATAGAACCGGTTCATGCAAGGCTGAAAACAAACTTATGTAATTATGAAATAGTAAATAAATGACCTTGTGATGCAGGACGTATATGAAAATTTGATTTAGGTAAGGATTTTTGCACGCTTAATGAGTAAGAGAAAATTAATTAAATCTTTATGGTGATTCAAACAATGAAATAAAACACAAAGAGCGGTAAACACAAGCTTAGGCCAAGTTACTCGCGAAAAAGTAAAAACCACTTAATAATCATTTACTCTTGACGTTGCATACGAGATACGTTTCAACAAGAAATCCCTAATCTAACAATAAGAATAGTGCTATGAAAGATCTCTCACACACTTCCTACTAAACACTAAACTTTTAACGGAGCTTGGCAAGATTTTGCATGAATCAAATAAAACCACAAGCAAGGATCAACGAAGAAGATAAGAGAGAAGAAAAAGTTCACCTTTTGCTAAGATTCAACCTTCTCACAAGCTTGGACATCCGTTTGTGGCATCTTTGACGGCTCAGACAGCAACAAATTCATGCTCGAACCTTTGGACAGAGAGTATCCAACCCTGGACAGCGATCCCTGATAGTTCCAGGCAGCCACGGTCGCTCCCAAAAGGGCTGGACAGCAGCGAATTGCTGCTGGAGTCTCTGAACAGCAAACATGTGGTCTTGGACAGTAGCTCTCTAGGGTCTGGAAGGGTGGACAGCCACTATTAGCATCCAGAAATTTCTGGACAGCAAGTAGAGATGTGTAAACAGCAGCACATGAAGATTGGGACAGCTTTCTACCAAGAATCCAAGTGGAGAAGGTAAGGGAAGGTGGCCGGCTAAGGGGGAAGGCTTGGGAAAGATTGGGTTCAGGTTTTGGGTGAATTAGGCTTAAAGTTTGGAAGAAGATCTTGGAGGGAAAAGCTGAGATTAATTCCCCAATAGAAATTCCTTGATTAGGAAATAATTTAAGTGGGTTATGGGGTAAGGGAAGAGGGCAGGTAGGCTAGGGCTGGATTTGGAAATATTTCCAAAGTGGGGGCTGATTTTTGGGAAAGAAATATTGGGGTTGGGCTTTGGAAAATTCGGCTCAGAGAGGGGGGGGGGGATGGGGTGTCTAGATGCAATGTATGTGGGGGGATTAATTAATTAAATAATCAATATCAGATTTTGATTGATTACTAATTAGTGGGGTTTCCAAATTTAGGCATCTTTAATTAGGAAAGTGTGAGGATTTGAATTAATTAAATAATCAATCTCAAA